CTGATTTGGACTATAAGCACTAGGGCAAAATCACACTAAAAATGAATCTAATCTGTTAGCTAGTTCAACATAAAGTCTTATGAGCCTATTCTTCTCTCTTTAATTTTGCTCATGAAATTCTAACAAATATTGGACGTTTAGGGATTTTGCCTTGTAACAGTTAAAAATAGTGAATGGGTGGTGTGCAGGTTTTTGTTCGTGATTTTGTACCTAGTGCACTTGCCTTCCTCATGAATGGTGAGCCTGAAATAGTTAAGAATTTCTTGCTGAAAACACTTCTGCTTCAAGGTTGGGAAAAGAAAGTGGACAGATTCAAGCTGGGTGAAGGAGTTATGCCAGCCAGTTTCAAAGTTCTTCATGATCCGATTCGTAAGATAGATACAGTCATAGCAGACTTTGGTGAGAGCGCAATTGGAAGAGTGGCTCCAGTTGACTCTGGATTTTGGTGGATCATTCTTCTCCGTGCCTATACAAAATCTACGGGAGATACCTCTCTTGCTGAAAGACCGGAGTGCCAAAAGGGGATGAGACTTATACTCACTCTCTGCTTGTCAGAAGGATTTGATACCTTTCCCACCTTGCTATGTGCTGATGGATGTTCGATGATTGATAGAAGAATGGTACATTTGTCTTTTAGTTACATTGCATTGTCACACGCTCTTACAGTTGTTCTAGGTAGAATGCTGAATTGGTTAGGTTATGATACACCCACCCGTGGAGCGAACATTAGGCTATGTTTGGTTTTACCTTGATGAGTGGAAGGGAAAGTAAAATTTGATTATCTTTTTTATGATTATATATATTTTGATCTCTTACTCTATAAAATTGAATTGTATAATTAAAAGGCTCATTATATATTTCTAGGCTGAACTTTCACAAATTCACAAATCTAAGCTGAACTGTTAACTTTATCCAATTCAGTTATATTACTTATATACTTTTATATTTGTAACAAATCTAGTTTGTGTCCACCACATTCATTAATGTGTTCCAAATGGAACCTTAATGTGTTCCTATTGTGGTTATCAGGGAGTTTATGGTTATCCTATTGAAATCCAAGCACTCTTTTTCATGGCATTGAGATGTGCTTTGACGATGTTAAAGCATGATGGAGAAGGAGAAGAATGTATTGAGAGGATAGTAAAGCGTCTACATGCCTTGAGTTACCACATGAGAAGTTATTTCTGGCTTGACTTCCAACAACTCAATGACATATACCGTTTTAAAACTGAAGAATATTCTCATACAGCAGTCAACAAGTTCAATGTTATTCCGGATTCGATCCCGGATTGGGTGTTTGATTTCATGCCCACACGAGGCGGTTACTTTATTGGAAATGTCAGTCCAGCAAGGATGGACTTTAGATGGTTTGCATTGGGGAATTGTGTTGCGATCTTGGCATCTCTCGCCACTCCAGAGCAAGCCACTGCGATCATGGATCTCATTGAAGCACGCTGGGAGGAGCTTGTTGGGGAAATGCCTTTAAAAATATCTTATCCTGCGCTTGAAAATCATGAGTGGAGGATAGTGACTGGTTGTGATCCGAAAAACACTAGATGGAGTTACCATAATGGAGGATCTTGGCCAGGTTATCCTTCTATCTTTTTTCCTTGCTAATTCTTCTGTGGTCTCATATTTTTCTGGGCTAGTTCAAGCATATGACTGTGTGCAATGGAAAGATATGTTTTACAAGTTTTCACTTTTTCTGGAAACAAAAATAAGAAAATGTCTTTGACAAAAGTTTTTTGTTGTTTTCAGTTTCTCAAAAGAAAATACAATTCTGAAAATTATGGGACGTGTGAATTCATTATTTTCATTGTTTTTGCTTGTAGAATCATGTTTCCCACCATAATTTGGCGTATTTATGATTTTATTATTAAAAAGAAAACACTTTCATACTCCACAGTAGATTCATCTCTGTCCCAGAAACTTTGTCAATATTACAAGGGCTTACTGATGAAACATCAATTTGTCCCGTACAATATTTGATTTAGTTAATTTTTAAAATTTACATATTTAGTTTTAAGACCAAATTTTTTATCCAAATACTAAAAACAAATTTTACACCAAAATCATATGTACTCCGTACGATACAGACTCATCGTCAATGTTTGATATTCTAAAAACTTTGGGAAACAATATCTACAATTTATAGAAACATAAAAACGGGAAACATCACCAAAAAACCCGTTTAGAGCATGTTTGAGACCTCTTAGAAACTAGATTATAAACTGTCTTTATATTATGATATAAACTGAGTTATCAGTTTAACCTTATAAGCTATAATTTTGAGTACTATTGAACACATCAACTTGTCATTCATCAGCTTGTTATGCCAAACAAAGCCGTGCAAGTTATTTTCAAAACATGTGTTTAAATCACAATCAGCTTATTTAAACAAAAAAGAACTATTTTCATGTATCTGAAAATTACTTTATTGATATAATAATAATGATGTGCTGATTTTTCAACAACAGAAGTTGTTTTTTCACTTATTTTTGCACTTGTAAAAGCCAATTCTTTTGTACATCCAAATAATAAAAAAAATTAATTACTTCTCAACAAACTTCTTAAACAAGAATTGGTTCAGTTTATGACCAATTAACATGAAAATCCAATTCTTTGGTACATCCAAATAATAAAAAAAATGATTACTTCTCAACAAACTTCTTAAACAAGAATTGGTTCAGTTTATGACCAATTAAAATGAAAATGTGCAGTGCTGTTGTGGATGTTGACTGCGGCGTGCATCAAGACTGGACGGCCACAAATTGCGAAAAGGGCAATTGATCTAGCAGAGAGCCGCTTGCTGAAGGATGGGTGGCCCGAATATTATGATGGAAAGGTTGGAAGATTTGTCGGCAAACAGGCCAGGAAGCAGCAGACGTGGTCAATCGCTGGGTATCTGGTGGCGAAGATGATGCTAGAAGATCCTTCACATTTGGGGATGATATCCTTGGAAGAGGACAAGCAAATGAAGCCTGTAATGAAGAGATCATCTTCCTGGACATGTTAAATAAGTTAAAAAAAAGATTAAGGTTAAAGTGATTCTTTTAACAATATTCATTTGTGTCTATGTCTGTAGTTCTTACTCACAGAGAGGAACTTGGTAAGCATATTTTTTTGACTAGCCCCTTGCTTGTCAAAACTAAACTCTTATGCTTGATGATTGTGTTCCATTGGTAAACATACTTTACTTCTTCCTGCATTGGATTTTATAATCAGCTTTCATCAGTTCAAATTCAGCATCTCATTATTGCTATAATAATACGAATTAAAAAGCATTCTGATCCATGTTAATGACCTCGTTGGAGCCCGTAAATAAAGTAAATCTGTAGCAATTCTGCACAAAGGTGCTAAATGAAGTGCATTGTTTATATTTTAATAATCCGCAAGGAAAACTATTTCAACAACATTTTAAAAAGGGTATATTACTACCATTCTATGTTGCTTTGATGATGGAGAGGACCCAGTTTTGGCTTCAGAACTGGGTGGTTCTTCACCCAAAAACCAACCTGTTCTACACTTCTACGAGTCCTAGACCGGGACAGATTCAAGTTGGGTCACGGGTAATGTCCTGGTAATCGACTTTGGGGGATTCTATTCACACTTACAAAATTACTAATTGCAGCCACGAGAATAATGAAATATCCGTTCCACCCTTAAAATCCATCTACTAGCTAGTAACGCACAGCTTAATCCAACACATCGGTCTGCTTTAAGCTTTATCATCATCGCCGATTTCCTTCGTTCCTACTCTTTCCCATATTTCATCTTCTCAACGACCCAATTCCCCATTACTCACAATCAACATCATCATTTATAATTTCTTGATTGTTATTCGATCGGTGTATATGTATTCTAGCAGTTTGATTACTTGATATTCGATTTTTGTAATGGAATCAAAACCAGATACGATAGCAATGAATATGGCGCCACTTTCCATCGGCACTGTCCGGAGTAAGCCTGTCGTGAGAAGGATGGAGGTGTGCTCGCTTGATGTCGGAGCTATTGTTCTATTGGTCTGATAATCCTCATCATAGTTCAACTTGATTGTCTACGCGTGTATAAGACTCTTTCAACTTGCCGTGTGGCCAAAGAAACTGATATAGGGTTTTTAACTTCTTTGTCTGCTCTGGAAACTTTAAACATCAACCAGGACCATATTTGATTAGTAAATAAGGGACTGTGAATAGAATTTCCCATCGACTTTTGGGGATCCATTCTGGCTTCATTGGGCAGCTGCTAGCACTTCCAACAGTCAACATTTATATAGGGAGACTGAGAAACTGATTGTGCGTGTGCTTTAAAAGCAAAATTAGAATCATAAGTAGTCAAGTAGGTGGTCTACTCCAACAGTCCAACTTCTAGAAAAGTGCTTCTAGGAGTAACTTTAAGCACTCAAAAATACTTTACACTACCACCCAAACACTTCAATATATGTTTTTGCTCTTTGAAAGAGTAGAAACAATTTGAAGAAGCAGATCTAAACAGCCCTATAACCTTTAGGGTCATGACGAGGAGCGAAAAAAACTACAAGTACCAATCATTTCACTCTCTACAAGTACCAATCAGTTTCCAATACTTAAAACTCTCTACTACTCCACATATATAATACTCATCTATCACTCTATCAGTCTATCTACACAAATTCTCAATTTATTATTCATCATTATATATAATAATACTCCTATTATAGTAGTGATTACTTATTGTTGTTGAGTTAACCATACTCAAGATCCTGATATACACTTCTATGGTGTCTCCCCAGTCCCCATACAACCCTCAGTCGTCACCACAATTTACGACCAGGATTTATAAATAAAATCAGTTGTCCTACAGAACTACACCGATGAAATGACCAGATAAGTTCAAGTCCCGGCTCTGTTTTTTTTTTTTTTTTTAACTCAGTTTTTCCAATCTGGAACTACCCAGAAATGGACCCAAAAGTACTGGTTCCAGTTAAGGTTCTATTTTGAGAACACCAGAACCGGCCCCCATCCAACTAACACAAATCATTAATGAAGAAAATCAACTTGTCCGTATAACTTCAAGTAAAGCACAAAACTAAAACATGTAGCAAAATACAACCTAGTGATAAAAACGAGTGAAGAAATAAGCAACGTTGGGAGCAAAGTGCAGCTGATATCTCATGGTGTTCAGGCACTCTGCTTTACTCCATCCCTTGTAGTCTTGTACTTAAAAATATATCATGTTAACACGCTTACTTTGAAATAGTAAAAGGTTGCCTATATCACTCTATATGATGCTTTTTTTTTAGCAAGGAGCGGAGTGAAGGATTTGAAATAGTGAAAGGGTGTACTTGGGGAAGGACTTGAGAAGTATTTATGTTTCTACTAATCTGTAGTTCTAATGCTTTCACTAGTAAGCCATAGCTTCTTTTGAATGACAAACACTACAGCATCATCTCCCTCCTGATCCTGGTCTGATGTTGAATCACCGCCAGTTCCAACAGCTTCCCAATGCAATGCTTGCATATACCTCTTTACAAAGTCAATCACATGCTGTTTATCCCGGATGATAATAAAGCCGGTAGGCCTTAAGATACGATCCATCTCAAGCAACAGATCCTCACTGCTACAACCTTTCTTCTCAACGTCAGAAATTATGGTCCATGCATGCAGCAAATCATACGTCCTAGGATATGTTGAAAAGGCTTCGCACCTGCAAGCATGACAAAGGGACAATGAACAACAAATCTTAACCTTGTTGAATATTAATGAGGACATGTCTAGGCCTGGTTTGGCAGCAATTAGCTGTTTAGAATAGTTTTTACCGGTTCACGTTAGCGGTTTTTATGCAGTTACGTTTTACGGAAGAGAGCTTTAGTAGGGGTAGTGATTAGTTATTAGAATGTGTCAAATGATACATAATAATAAAGATATAGTTTTGTTTATTATTATAGTATTATTATTTGTTTGTGTCGCTATTTTCTTCCTCAGGTATAATATACTACAGAGTATTTCACATTACTATATTTCAACAAACGATTAGAATCAAATTTCCTTTCAAATATTTTTAAATTTACAAAGAAGTATTTGTCTTTTAAATTGTCGTATTCAAGACTCCGTATAGTAACTGCTATTAATCATTTTTTATCTTTTTATATCAAAAAATAGATTTAATAGAAGAGATAGAGATTAGAGAGCCACTTTTCTCTCTACTTTTACTTAATAATAACTATTCAATCCGTTATTCCAAAAAGCTCTCTTGCAAAACTGTTCTTTGTACTCCACTACTCCTCTTACAGGTTCTATAACAAGCACTAAAATTAGCTATAATTTGGACCGGAAATGCTAGACTCTCCCCAATGAGCCGTTCACCAATCAAAACTTTAGCCAAGATTTAGTTAGCCATCAAAACCAAAAGGCAAAAGTGCAAAACCCAAACAGCAAAATTGTTAGTCTTAGAAATATGAAAGGGAAAATGATTATAAAAATACTTTTATCACCATACTACCAGTTGTGGATTGTGCCAATGAGGCCTCGATCATATACAATCTTGAGTGTGTTGGGTCCATCTTCAGAAACAACATTCATTACCCATACATCCTTGTCCTTGAGAGCACCTGCAAACGAACCCATGTTTGCCTTCATGTCCATAATATTCCTAACAGTGTCTGATGAAATTCTGGGACTCAGAATCCTCAAGTAACCATCAACTCTCCGCTGCCAAAGTTTCTGTTTCGAAGAAGGCCACAACTCAATTTTCATTCTAGTAATTGGAAATGTCTATGAGCAGTCAGTCAGCATTACACTGTTATAGGTAAGAATATTACCGTATCCTTTTCAAACATTGCGTTTGAATACCCAAAATCAGCAAGCCGGGGAGGAGGTGTGGTTAATCGAGCTGGCCAAGGTGCCAATCCACTTCCCTTGGTTTTGTGGTCATCTGGTGTAAAAACGGAAAATAAACAATTAAAATATGTATATCTCATTTCACTTATATTACATATAGGTATTTCCATCATTTGCAATGGAGCCAAAGATTCACTACTTTTGACTTGAGAATATGATGAAATAAAGCAAAATGGCTCATTAAACTGTCTGCGCTTCTTTGTTATGAAGCAACAGTCAGTCCATGCAATTTTCGACGCGATTTTCACCACGGATCATCTGGAAACAGTCTCTTTGTGCTTTAGTACAGGGGTAAGGCTGCGTACACCCAACCCTCCCCCTTACCCCACCGTAGGTGGGAGCCTTTGCGGCACTAGGGTGATGATGATGATGATGGCAATGACTTATATGACATATAGGTCTCTAAGAAAAGACATTGGAGAAAATGGCAAAATGCACACCAACAAGCTAAACAGAAAAAAACAGGGGGAGGGGGGAGGCTTGACCATGACTCCATGAGTTGGTAAAAAAATGGAAATGCCATCAAGGAATCAACGATCAATCAATATGGATGCAATCAAACAAATGAGTAAAAATGGGACAAATGTGCCGAGGCCTCATTCTCTTTTTATGCCATGTTCTCTTTGTCAGAAGAGATCTGATCTCATTTTTTTTTTTGTAAATCTTGTATGATTATAATGGTCTGGTCTGTATGGAGATGTGTCCTCTTAAAGGTCTGGTTTCTAAATATTTCAAATCTTGTCTATGAGTCCAATATAACATATAGCCAGCTTTTTCATGATATTGCATAGTCTGATCCAGTTATAATAAGAATGAATAGTGAACAAAAAAACAAGTCAAAGAGGAAACCACTTTTAAGTTTAATCACTACAAGAATAAGATACAGGTGATCAACTGAATAGCTCTTTCCATCTAGCTAAAGGGATTCTCAAGCTTATAAATTTTAATAACAGATTTCTTTATTAGATGCAAAAGAAGATCATTCTTCACAACAATGTCAAATGCAGACATAAGAATATATACTTACGATCAGAATAAGGTGTTATGCATGCCTCCATTGGAACCCCCCACACTGCATCAGGATCATCATCAGGGCGACATAGAGGTGGCCTGGTGTTTGGTTCTCTTTCCTGGTAACAGTCATTATTTAGAGGCTTAACCCAAATGACAGTTTGGTTCCTCTTGGCAGCTATCTTCCAACACATGCGTTCTACAAGTGCACTCATTTGTCTCCATATTCTAAGATCATCTTCATCCTGTGCGTATGCCTCTGGAGAGGAGTAGGCAAAATAGCCTCCTGGTCTAAGAACTCTGTCTAACTCGAGAAGAAGAATTCCATCCCTTTGCAACCAATCAATCCTACAACGAGAACAATGAGCAAACTCAAATGAACGGCTTGGATAAGGAAGTCTCTTTGTTCCAAGAACACCAAGAGATGCCGGAATTCCTCTTTCCAAGGCAAACTGGATCTGATTCTGATGCACATCATTTGGTGCTAAGGACATTGCTATTATATCAGATGAAAGAAGATAGCCTCCAAAGCTCGCAACACCACAACCGACATCAAAAACTGTGCGTACATTTCCCTCATTGTTCAATATATTTTTTGAAAAATTCAGCATCTGTAAATTGGGACACAGCATAAAAAGCAGTGAACATTTGTACATGTTTAATTTGCTTTCAATGGATGGTTTCCTAAAACAAAGGATTGAAATATCTTACGTTAGCAATTGAAGCAATGTATTTGTCAGCTCCGTAGTGGAAATGAGTGCCTCCTCCTGGAAATATAATCCTTTCACCCTTGACAACCATCCAGTTCTGGTCTGATTTCTCTTGAGCAAGGTGGGTATGAGGTATGTTTGCTTTCCACACCTCATCTCTACTTTTAGGCCACTTAATAGGTATCTAATATTGTACCAAATGATAAAAAAGATGGCTTATTTACACAAGATATTTACGAGAATTCTGAAATGAGAAGAACTCAATACCCTTTTGCTACCACACTAGCATATGCTGTCTAACCTTGTACCCGGGGGGAGGAGGAATCATGCAATTGTACCGCCTTTCTTGCAAAGGACAATGTCTTTCATAGTGTTCCATCAAGGATAAGTCCAACTTTAATCGCATTTGGTATATGAGATGTCTGTCTAGACAGGGTATTAGTTCTGAATGCCGATCATCACAAACCTTAAAATCCCAAAAAGTTAAAATGCATCAAGCATCAAAATGTTTGTCACAAAACCCAAGACGTGATATTGTTTATATGACACTTCTTAGATGACTTACAGGAAAGCTTTTCAGAAAAATGCCATCATTGCCATCATCCAGTCCAATTTTTTCATCTTGCTTAGTAGTATCACCTTCATCATCTCCACCTAAGTAAGAAGACCCTAGTTTCCTCAAAGACCAGCTTCCGTACTCTAGAGCAGACTCACCACTGCTCTTAGAGCCAAATACCACATAAAGAAAAACAAGGAAGATTCCGGTAACAGCTACAGAAGTTAGCAACCGCTTTCTCTGCAATCCATCTGATCTCACTCTCATCTTTTAATTAGCTTTAGTACTGTACCAACAAAAGCTTCACCCCCCGTCTTCAGTTCTTACAAATACTGAAATGGTCTCATAACTATGAGCTTACTGCAAGATCAACAATGACTTGATTGATGATTGATGCAGTATTCACTGTTGGACTTCGAGACCTGTTGAGTCAAATACTAACAGATAGAACAACTAGAAAATTATTGACAAAAAATGATTGTTAATTACAATCAAAATCATCACCAACGCAAGAAAAGATGAAAACAAGATTCTTCTTGAGCACTTCTTAATGCTAATTGACAGTAATAAAGGCATCCCTTAAGAGAGAAGATTCTTTAGGATTCGTAAAACTACAGAGACATAAAAAATGAATACATGTCGAAGCATAACATCATTTAACTCACCCACATGTTCTACATTAGAATCCCAATACGGTATCAATGCACATTCGAATGGCAATACAAAGTTATATATACATTCTTAATTCTTATATAGTTTAAGGTTGATGATTGATGATTGATGCAGTATTCACTGTTGGACTTTGAGACCTGTTGAGTCAAATACTAACAGATAGAACAACTAGAAAATTATTGACAAAAAATGATTGTTAATTACAATCAAAATCATCACCAACGCAAGAAAAGATGAAAACAAGATTCTTCTTGAGCACTTCCTAATGCTAATTGACAGTAATTAAGGCATCCCTTAAGAGAGAAGATTCTTTAGGATTCGTAAAACTACAGAGACATAAAAAATGAATACATGTCGAAGCATAACATCATTTAACTCACCCACATGTTCTACATTAGAATCCCAATACGGTATCAATGCACATTCGAATGGCAATACAAAGTTATAAATACATTCTTAATTCTTATATAGTTTAAGGTTCATGGAATCATGGGGTTAAAAGATTTGAGCGAATGAGTATCGATGCAAGCGAAGAAAGATGACACTTGATGTAGTGTTTGATAGTGTTTGACAATGGAAAGGTCAAAGGTTAGATTTCCATACATCACATTTATTAATTCCATATTAATTCATAATAGTGTACAAATTAAGCGTTTGATTGCTGTTGTTCATTCAAAAAATACATGTAAGGCGAATCCATGGTCAGCGCCACTCAGCAGGTCAGGTCAAAAGCCCCAGTTTAGGAGTTATAGATCCAAGATTTTGTAATTTCGTGTTTACGCATGTCAACTATAACTATTAGTTGCTACAATTTTTTTAGACTCAACAATGGCATTAACCTCCTAAAATACAATTTCTGACTGTGATTCTAAAGGAAATCCATTCAAAGGTTGATATTTTATTTTCATACATAATATATATGGATCTAACACTATAAAAATCCATAGTTCATGAATAATAGAACGGGACTCATAGTTTAAAAGCTGGAAACGATAAACAAGGAGCATAGTCCTTTAAATAAACAAGTCAAAACTAATTTTGTGTTAACACAATGTGTAATTGGTTTCAAAATATCGTTTATACATACTCAAAGATGTCTATCGTATGAGCTCAAATTGGTTCTTGGTGTTATAGGATGTGAGATTATATGAGGTTGTAGGACATTAATAATTTTTTTTAAAAAGTACTTCCATCAATTTGACTGAAACTATCCCTGAGCTGAAACATAAGTGTCTCTGATTCCTCTTTCCACAATCATGTTTTATTCGAATGGATCGTGTTTGACATTTTACTGGAACAGATTGCTGATGCTTTTCTAATGCAATTTACTTCGTAGTAGATAACAGTATTAGGTAAGCTGCCAATCACTAAGTGCCCAAGAAGGATGTAAGAAAGTATATTTTATATTTATATAAAAACATTAGTAAAAAAGTTCTACATTTGTGTGTATGTTACACAAACATATAGAGATATAAAAACACACAAACCCATTATACATAAATGGATTTGTAAATTTTGTTCTTATATACAGTTTGATAGAAAAAATGCCTCCAATTTTAGAAAAGTGCTCGTTTTGGGGATGAAATGAATGAAGAGTCTAAGAGTGAACTTCACTCCAGATCTTATGTCATGGTCCAGAGGGGGGAAAGTCCTATTATGGAAATGATCTGAAAACGATGGGAGAAGAATAAATGAAGATCCAAGAATTGCCTAAATCGACATCCCCATTCCAGTAATAATATAGTAAAGTAACAAAAAGAATCATAAAGTTGAAGCGAATGAGTGAATCATGCACGAAAGAAGATAATACCTTTCAACTGGAGGCGAAGGTGGTGTCCAGCTTCAAGTAAGAAAGTTATTTGTATGATCAAATTGTGAGTGCGTAGACGTGCAGTCGTCGATAAGATCTTATGTAGTTCAGGAAAATGGGCAATGTAGGTGGTTCGATATTACATTTAAATGAGATGGTTAGAGATTTTGAAAAATTGCTTTTTTAATCAGATGAGGAGAAGTGATCAAATAAAAGTTGATAATGTTTGAGAAAAAATGATTTTGAAAAGTAAAAGTTGGTGATATTTGTTAAAATAAGCTTTTTTTGTGTAATAGAAAAAGTAAAAGCACTTTTGACACGAAAGCCAGAAAAATAAAAGTTGTAGTGTTTGGTAAAAGAAGTGCTTTTTTAAAGCCAAAAGCCGAGAAGTGCTTTTTTTAAAGCGTTTGCAAACCAACCCTAAGGCTGATTGTAATGGAGGGGTGAAAACCCGAAATGTGAGGTTTTCACCCAAAAAACTACTGCAACCCAGACTTTTTTTTGTATAGGGAGGTCTCATTCAGAATATGGGAAACTGATGGGAGGGATTTCTGGGCGGTGCATTGACACCCTACTTGGAGCTGACATGCGCAGTGGGCCATCATCCCAGCTAGTCGGCTGAATTCTACCGGAGGAAATGTGAGATCTAGATTTGTGCGTGTGCTTCCACTTGCTTTAGTGTGGCTAGTGGGAATAAAAAGCTACATTGAATAATTCAACTTGGGAGTAATTGATTGTTGGTACTTCAAATTTAAACATGTGTTTCAATCGATTTAAATTTATTATTTAACAAGTTCATAGTATATAAAATGAAAAATTAATAATATAGAAATATACAAAACATTTAATAGTTTTAAATTTATTTCAAATTGAACTCATGTACGCATTTTTCATACTTACTAAAAAATTAATTCAAATTCTTAACTTTTTTACATCGGAATGTTTGAGTTTTTAAACAATAATTATTGGTAAAAGTAAAATTAACACATAAATGATGTGTAAAAAAATAACTAAGGATCTATGCATTTAATTAAAAAAATGTGTTGAGTAGATATATTGACGGTGTTGGGTTGTAGGGAAAAACTGAATTCACTGGGTGAATCCGTATAAACTGGAGGGGAATTAGATTTATTGACGGGTTTGGGTTGCGGTTAGCCTAAGCAGCTCTTTTATGCTTATAAGTCAAACTTTTTTTTACCAAATACATAACTTTTACTTTCGCGCTGAATTGTGTAATAAGCAGTAAGCTAGGTTGGGGTTAGTTTTCTGACTGTATTGACTGAAGTTACTGTAAATTACCATTTTAACCATTTCAACATATAATTTTTTCTTTATTTTAATTATTAATAAAATATATTTTAATTTTTTCCCCCTGAAATCAACAGAATCGGCCAATGCAGCCACTTCCGCCAGAACTTCATAAATTTCATCAGAATCGGCCAAATAAGCCGATTTTCGTGCTACCAAACAGGCTCTACATCATTAGATTTATTTTTGACGAAATTTTATAAGAATAAAATCACATACAAGAGACATCTATCACACCATTTCAGACTTGATTAGACCATAATAGATCACATTAGAAAATTATAGCTCAACTAAAAACATCCTAATTATAATTTTTAATTATTAATACTTCTCATCAATCTCATGTTCTTAAAAAAGTTCATAATTACATATCATGAGTATTAACTAGTAAAGAGTAGTAGTTGCGGGCATATAAGTTTTTGATTCGGTGTTAACAATTTTTGGTTCGGTTTAGTTTGAGAGGGATTAGAAGAATGATTATCAAACAAAAATCATGCTATCTTTCGGTTAGATTTGGTTTAGTTTGGTTTGATTCTAATTTTTATTTTTTTGGTAATGCATGAAGGTTTTTGTTTAACTGAATTTCTTTAGTTCAGTTTGATTTTTCTTGATTTTGGTACGGTTCCATTTAGTGCGTTTTGGAAGAAATACTACCACTCAAACCAAATTGCATATCCATGATTATTCAATTTCGCTTCGGTTTATATTTAATTCAGTTTGGTACGGTTCAATTTAACCAAACTGTTTTGTCCACCCCTAGTGAAGAGTATTAGAAATACGAAGTATTTTGAGTTATGGAGGTTCATAGGGATACAAAATACTAGTATTACGTAGTATTGAAAGTTACCGTGCCTAGTGGGAGGTCTCGAGTTCGAATCCAGCTAGGCACACAAGGGTTGGAAACTCAAGAAGTGAGTTTCAACCCTGATTACTCCAGGCTCCCCCCAGCCCCCTCCCCTAGACCCCCTGGAGTAAAAAAAGTAGTATTGAAAGTTACATGTTGTATTCATGTGACATGGCAAATTTTGTCATACATACAAATGTAGCTTTAAATGTGGATACTTTACCAAATTTCTTTAATATTTGCTCATCTAGAAAGTACATATTAGACATATTTCATTAAACTTCTAATTTCTTCATGTTCATTTTACATTCAATACAATACTCTTTTTTTGTCATAAATACTCATTTGAAAATAACACATGCTCAGTTTGTACTTGAAAAGTATTAATTTCAATTGGGAAAATTCCCGAAATAGGACTAAAAAAGTTTGAAAATTCCAAAATAGGGCCGTCATGTTTTTATTCCCAAAATAGGAGTAATTACTGCCAAGTTTGGAAAATACTGCCATCTTTAAAGCCTGGTACTGCCAAAACATGACAGTAATTAGTCCTATTTTGGGAATAAAAACATGACAGTCCTATTTTGGAATTTTCAAACGTTTTTAGTCCTATTTAGGGTAATTTCCCATTTCAATTTTGTACCATGCAATTCATAATATCGTTTTCTTTTGTTTTTCTTTTTAATTTTTTTTTGTTTGCAATTCATAATATCGGTATCCTATTATACATTTACTATTTTACTTCTTTAAAATGTTTTTTTTATCAATACTCGATTTATTTTAGTAAAGATTTCTTGAATAGGACTAAATACAAATATTACCTTCATCAAACAAAATTATCCTTCCGTTCCATTGAACTTTGCCAACTTTCCCTTATTGGTTGTCTAAAAAAACTTTGCTACTTTCCTAATAAAGCAACTAATTTGTGGTTCTATACATTTATCTGTCCTCTGCACAAATTTCAATCATACAATTTTTAGTTTTCTTATTTCCCACCTACTTTGCACTTGGCAAAGTCCACCCGGACGGAGGTAGTATATTATTTCAAAATAGGACTAATTCGATCTCAAAGATTTTTAACTACTTTGTGTTCTCTCATTTAGACCAAATAATTCATGTCTCGAGAATAACTATTATTAATCCCATTTGTATATTTTCCCGGCATTTTACTTTTACTCTCAACAAATTTTCTTTTTATCAAATTTAGTAAATCAGAAAATACTTATTTGCATCGTCAAAGGAACTTGCAACATGTCAAATATACTCAAATCGGTTTACCTTGGTCACAAATTTAAAGAATCCTTTGAACAAATTATAAGGATATTTTTAAATGAACTATAATTTTCTAGTCTGGTCTATTTTGTCTGTTTAAGGGGAAATGATTGACAATAGGAGTAAAGCTTTCTGTATGTACTCAAATAGGAGTTTAAGTATAGTAACTCCTAAATATGACTGACTGGATTTTTACTCCGTACTTTGTTTTTAAAATTTTCCCTGTCTAACCTTACATTTTCATCTCACGACAGATGACAATCCTTATCTCTCATCCACAACCTCGCCAAACCCTCTCTCCTTCCTCCACAGCTAAACAAGGCAGTTTCAAGGTCCAGTATCGTACAAAACAATGGGGAAATGAGATGCAGTGACATTGCAGAGTTTCAAGGTCCCGTACTGTACAAAACAATGAGGAAATGAGATGCAGTGACATTGCAGATGCTGAAAAAGCAGATAAGATATGGTGACACAGCAGCACGGCGGCGGCTTGACAGAGAATTGAAGACGCCACAACGTGACAGTTGCGGCGGGAGCCCCCCCCCCCCCCCCCCCCCGCTCCTCCTCCGTCATTCAATTCACATAAGATTATTAATTAATATGTGTGATACTATTTTATTTTAATTAACCTATATATATATATATATTTGCTTCTGATCAAATGCGAGTTTATCCTTACCATAAAAAGTAAGAAAAAATCTATTACATAAGATTTATGATCTAATGGATCTAAATATGTCAACCATGTAATAAATTTGAAAAAAAAAAACGGGTGGCACAATTGTAATTAAGTGAAAAAAACCGTTATTTAATAAAGAACATTGTTTAAAGGTAATTATGCACGGTTCATGACAATAAGTGTAGTCATTCGCAATTTCCACATGAACATCATTTTTTATTGAAACCAAACCATATAGCTAAAGTACAAAAAGTCAAGGTAAAATAAAGGAAATTCAAGAATAGTTGATTATTTGCCAACAGGTGAAACTAAGCATATGTAGCAAAGTACATATATAGTATTTATGTAGATTGGAACCATTTGCAGAAGTTATGGAGGGTTTCCCCATCAGCTCTGTAATGGTTTTGGATGAAAAGGAGCATATCTGACCACATGAAGTTCGGGTACAATCTCGGCTTCTCACTTGTAATAAGATCTTCAGGTGCTACTATAACTTTATCTTCTTTAGGGGACACAAAGAATGCAAGGGTTAATCTGTTTTGGTGATTGTTCACCACTGCCCGATGCAGACAACTCTTAAATATATTGTTTGTGAATGCCTGTATTAAACTTTTATGTGATCAATACAGCATTCAGAACACGTGATAAAAGATTATATTTAAGATAACGGTCAAAGTAATCTTTGTATGCAGAAAGATCTTAACAAGAACTATTACTTCTTACGATTATCTCAAATGACGAACACGATAAAAGGCCAGGGTAGTTCATGACTTTATATACACAAGCTTGTTTTGATGAAACTAGAGATCATGAATCACTTCTACTTCTTTTATCTCTTCGCTAGAATCAGCATTTCAAAATATTGATTAGCTTCAAGAAATAAGCTAAGGAAGAGAAATTGAGATGTATGTACACCTTTTTACACCTATATTTAGGTTAATACAAAATAAAGAGTACTTTTTTTTTGTTTTACTCAATTATTACATCATTCTCAACTATGCCATGCACATGAGTTTCTTTCATAGAATCATACCTATGGTTTT